TGTACAACAGTTTTTCTATTAATAAATAAAATTAGTTTCTTTTGAGGTTTTAAACTCAACGTAGCATAATCCTTCACTGCAATTAACTCATCCACCTCAAGTTGCTGCCCTGCCACCGCCACTTGATAATACAATTCCACCAATTGCAGCCAATATTAGCCCTTTATGTAACCATTTTATGGTCACATATTAAATGGCTAAGATAGGGTCACATATTAAATTGTTAAATGATGAGGTTTAATAAATGTTATAATAGCTTCCCATTTAATGAAAGGAAGTTATTGTAGGAAGCATCCACGTCTATGATGGATGAATGGATGGATTGGATTGTTTCCTATATAACATGCCAAAGGGTCCTTAGCCAAACCTATACAAAATATCTTGCAGCATTTATGTTTCAAATTAAGCCCCTATTTGAATCCCATTTTTGGGATAAAATACGTTATGAAATAATGACTTTTTGGAGAATGTGTAGTTAAAAAGTAAGGAAAAGTTTTTGAAATACGTGTATAATTATTTTATACAAGAATGCGTGATTGAAAATAAATTTTGGAAAAAATGCATTCTTGAAAAGTGGAAATCAAAGAGGGGCTAAAAGCCCTATGTATTTATTTTCGTCAAATAAAGGGGATATGAAGTGGTTATTGGCTAGAAGGCTTTTTGGTAGTGTTATACTTAATTTCCACTATTCTCAATTTTGAATAACATGATTGGAGGTATGCATTTAATTTTGAGGTATGCATTTAATTTTCTTACACGTGGTATCAGAGCCATCATCTATGCTTCGTTATTCGAATTAGAAATAAATATTCTTAAATTGCTGCATATAAATATTTAATGAATGTGATAGTTATCAATGCAGGATCGATCTTAAGTATTTGGAATTTTATTATGTAAGAAATTTATTGTTTCATTTATAGCACTAAAGGTATCTATATTGTAATATTTCTAACTTCTATTAAAAAGGGGAATGGGATGCCACTGTAAAGGGAACAGTAAAGTAATCACATTTCACTTTTCATGCTTTTTTTCTGCTTTGGTTTGTCCATACTTGCGACCATGCTGACAACCATACTCCTTATTTTCCTTATTTTCAGCTACAAAATTGGTTGATATCTTCATTTCCATTTTATTTTCGTTTTAGTGCTATGACATTTAGGATTTTCTTCTATGGAATTTCGGCTAATCATCTATTTTTCTTCGACCCACATTCCTGATCTCTTTTATACTACTGTCAAACTTCATCTTCGAGCTTTCCAACGAGTGTGGCTTGTTTCATTTTTATTTATTTTTATTTTTTTGCTTTTTTCCTTATTGTTGACCAAAACGGTTATGGGAAGACAACGTTGGGTACCTACATCTACAGAGGTTGATTTTCTTCGGTGCATATTTGATGGAGGAAATAAAAGTCCAAAAAATGCAGAAATTGTACATATAGTGTCCACCTTATTGCCACATAATCATATTATTTCTGAAAAAATGGTCGCGATTGGTTTAAGAATAGGCAAGCTTGTGAAAGAAAGAGAAGGTGACGTGTATAGATAATCCTCAACTAAAAATCTGATGCATGAAGTGCAACATCATCCTGCACTTCATTCTGATCGACATTTAAGGACCTTTAGTTTGAGAGGTTTATAATTAGCAGTACTTTCCAATGCTATATTTTTTTTTTTTTGTGCTTGTATTTATTTTAGTTTTTCATCTCACTTCTGGTAAACAATATGCTATAGTTAAGATTAATCTTATGCATGAACTACTGCTGACCTTCAGTTTGTTTATATTTATCATTACTTTCCAATGCTATATGTTTTTTGTACTGGTATTTGTTTTAGCTTTTGATTTCACTTTCAGTAAATAATATTTTATAGTTAAGATTTTGTAATCGTTAAAAGAAAAAAAAAATAAATAAATAAATTCTCCGAACAGTCCAAAGAGATGACACCAGCAGAGAGATGGTGCTATCTCTCCGTTCTATGCGAAGTGTGGAGAGGCATAGTTCGGAGAGATTTTTTTTAGCAGTTGTTTGAGAGTGTTTGTAATAAACTAAATTTGGTCCTTTTTTATATGCAATTGTGTTTAATCTATTTATATAAAATGCTTTTTTCCTTATAATTTCCTTTTTTCAAATTGCTTTTTCTTTCTTTCTTTTATAGGTGATGCTAATCAGCATTTTGAATAAGAGGATGTTCATGTTAATGTTGAATTTATAGAACAAATTAGTAAAGGAAGTATTCCTCATCAACCTTATGTTTTGCCATCTTCTAAAATTTGTGGTCATTGTGGTACAACAAAATTCTACAAAGAAAGCAAATATTTTTGTTGTTGGATGGAAAAGTCAAATTACAGTTAAATGATATGCCTCCTGAAATGTATGATTTATTTACTTTTACATCTGAAGAGACTGTACCTTTTAAAAAAAAGTTGTTCGTAGTTACAACAAGCATTTTGCATTTGCTTCGTTTGGTGACAAGTATGATAAAGAATTGTGTAAAAATAAGAAAGGTATATATACTTTCAGAGTTCAAGGACAGGTATACCATTTCATAAACTCAATTGTACCAAAGAATGAGAATCCAACGTATTTACAGTTATAATTTTATGATATTGAAAATGAAATTTGTAATAGACTCAATATTTCGGACAAGTTTTGTGTGTTCACTTTAAGAAAGTTGATAGACTTTCTAAACAAAAATCCCTATTCAAAGTTTTTCCGATCATTAAGTGAAATTAGTGATTTAAAATCATGTCGTATTTCACTGAGGTCTAATCGTGGTCTTGATCAAAGAGTATATAACTTGCCAACATCAAAACAAGTGGCTGTAGTTTGGGTTGATGATGACCCATTCGCAAATACTAGAGGTTGGGATTTATTAATTTATGGACATTCAGGTACTACATATAAAATTCAATACTATTATGATTGTTATGATCCTCTCCAATATCCACTACTTTTCCTGTATGGAGAACCTAGATGGAATGAAGGTATTCATGTCCATTCTGCGGATCAAGTGTTGGAAGTAGAAGACTATGGTAAACTTTATCAATTATAGTAATTTCTATTTTTTTTTAACTAATTCATTTATCTTATTGATTGCATTTAGTGAATGAAGTGTTTGTTGATATATGCTTTTCTTTCTTGCAATTTTGAAGGCAAGGAAAAAATGAATAACTGTATCATGCTAGGAATATTATTGTTACAAGCTTCAAATCAAGTGTGTAAACAATTGTAATTGTGGTCTTTTACATGCTCGCAAACTTTTACAACAACATGTTGTGATGTATGTTAAAATTGAAACAGCAAGATTAGACTACTTTCGTAGTAACTAAAAGGTTATAAGAGCTGAACTATATCACGAAATTGTAGATGGTGTACAAAATGGTGAGAATAGAGATTATAAAATTGGTAGATCATTAGTGTTGCTTTTTGGTTGTGTTGGGGGTCCTAGAAACATGACTAAAAGATATATGGATGCAATGTATTTAGTTCAAAGATATAATAAACCTGATGTATTTTTGACAATGACATGTAATCCAAATTGGCCTGAAATAAAATGTGAATTGCAACACAGTGACAAAATACAGAATAGGCCAAATTTGTTAGTATGAATATTTCGTGCCAAGTTTGAGGAACTGAAGACAGATTTGGTTAAGAGAAAGTTGTTGGGTCCTATTTCTGCATATGTTTATGTAATTGAATTCCAGAAAAAGAGGATTACCTCACACTTATTTTCTCTTAATATTTAAACAAAATTCTAAGATCCGGAACTTTGTACAAGTCAGCAAAATTGTCTCATCTGAAATACTTGACAAAAAAAACCCTTACTTGCATGTATTGTTGTAAAACATATGATGCATGGTCTTTGTGGGAATTTGAATCATAAAAATGTTCGTATGAAAAAGAATTTTGTATGTAAAAATAATTATCCGAGAGATTACGTTGAAAATGTTTTGTTGGGTAATGAATCCTACCCACTTTACAAGCGTCGCAATGATGGTGTAAGTGTTAAAGTAAGAGGTTGTATGTTGGATAACAGACGGGTTGTACCATATAATCCTTACATTTTAGCTAAATATGACTATCACATTAATGTAGAGATATGTTCTTCTATTAAGGCTATTAAATATCTATACCAGTATGTATATAAGGGACATGATCACATTCATTTTAATTTAAATAAATAAACAAATGAACAGTTTGCTAATGAGATTTCAAACTACCAAACAGCTAGATGGATATCTCCACCTGAAGCTATATGGAGGATATTTTGTTTTGATTTATTCGATATATCTCCTATAGTAATTTCTTTACAGTTACATACTAAAGATGCTCAAACGGGGTTACATACAATGAGACAGATGATTTATCAAAATTTATAAATAAAGACTTTGCTCACCGAACAATGTTAGCAGAATTCTTTAGAATGAATATTTCAAATGAAAAGGCAAAAACTCTACTATATAAAGAATTTTCAACCTATTTCGTATGGGACGCATCCATGCAATTTTGGAGTCTTAGAAAAAATAAGGATGTTATTGATAGAATAGTCAGTGCTAATCCATGTGAGGGTGAGAGGTATTTTTTGAGAGCTTTACTAAATCATATTAGAGGGCCAAAATCTTTTGAAAATTTAAAAATAGTCAATGGTGTTGTTTTATCTACTTATTGTGAAGCAGTACTTTCACACGGTCTTCTTAGTGGAAATAGCTATTCTAAGATGTGTTTATCGGATGCAGTTGCTTACCAAATGCCCATATCAATGTGGTGACTTTTTGCCAATGTGTTGAGTTTATGTTGTCCTACAAATCCAAGGAATTTATGGGACAAGTTTAAGGGTTTTATGATATAAGATTATTTACATAAAGATCTCACACAACAAAGTGCTGAGATGAAAGCTTTACACTGTATAAATTCTTTTTTAGAAGTTTTTGATAAGAATATAATTGATTTTTGCTTAGTAGATTTTGATTTAACTGTGAATGATGATGATATCTTTGAAACCATGATTGCCAACGAAACAACCAATATTAATTTTCAGTCAGACATAGATTATACTAAGAGTTTAAATAAAGAGCAACAAAATACCTATGATATTATTTTGGATTGTGTTTTAAATGATAAGAATGGAATGTTTTTTATCGATGGCCTAGGAGATACTGGGAAAGCATATTTGTACAATGCATTACTTTTTGGTGTACGATCACGAAATCTTATCGCACTAGCAACGACATCATCAGGTGTAGCTGCATCTTTATTATCGGTTGGTAGAACAAGACATTCAAGATTCAAAATTCCGCTTCAAGTAAGTTCTTATATGCGTTGTTCGATGAGTAAACAATTTGCGCTTGGTAAACTTTTAGCATTGGCTAGGCTAATAATCTAGGATGAAACACCAATGATTCATAAATATGCTTTTAAGGCTTTAGATAAAATGTCAAGAGACATTACTGAATGTCAGTTACCATTTGGTGGAAAAGTAATTGTGTGTGGAGTAGATATCCATCAAGTTTTACCAGCAGTACAGAAAGGAACAAAAGACGATATAATGAAAGCAAGTTTAGTTTTTTTTCGCATTTATGGCATTCTTTTATACAGCTAGCATTAGTTGAAAATATGAGAGCTAAATTAGATCCTTCATTTTGTGAATATTTGCTGAACATTGGGAATAGAATTGAGAGAATACATTTATTCCAAATGATTTTGCTTCCTGAAGATATTACCATCAATTTTGAAGATGAATTTAAATCACTGAAGGAATTAATTGACATTGTGTTTTTGAATTTCCAGGCATATGGAGACAACCTATATATTATGATGAATTGAGTTATTTTAACCCCAAAAAATGTATATAGATTTAAAAAACAATATGTTGCTTAAAGAAATTTCAGGGGAGAGTTATATATTTTAGTTTTGATGAAGTGATTGATAAAATTAAAAGATTTTTTGATGAAGATTTTTTGAATAGTCTAGCTCCAAACGGTATACCTCCATATGAACTCATATTGAAAAAAAAAAAGTGTCCAGTTATGTTGCTTAAAAATATTAATCATATAGAAGGTTTATGCAATGGGACTAGACTTATTTGTCGTGGCTTTAAGCAGAATGTTATCCTGGCTGAAATTGGGATAGGAGAATATTGTGGAAAGCAAGTATTTTTTACCTAGAATTCCATTCATTTTTCTTGAAGGCGATAAACAATCTGTACCATTTTCCGTCTATGTTTTGCAATGATCATTAACAAAGTTCAAGGTCAAACTTTAGATTTTGTTGGTTTATATCTTTCAGAACCTGTATTTTCCAATGGTCAATTGTATGTTGCCTTGTCCCGAGCTAGAACAAAAGAAAACATAAAAGTTCTGATCAAACCTTTAGTCAAAAAGGAACACATACTTGTTGTACCAAAAATATTGTCTATTATGAAATCTTGAATTTAGTTCATAGTAAATAACGAACTAGAATATTCAGGTGATCAAAATCTTCAGGCAGATTCCACAATTAAAATTCAATTCTATGGTATATTCTTAATTGTTTGTTATAATTGTTTGTTGATTATATTGGTTAAATAACGGACACACACAAAATTAATAACAAATAGTGACATATAACTTGTGATTGTCATGATGGAATATTGATTTTGCACAATGGTATCTTTGCAAAAGGAGTTCCAAAGTTAGGCCTTCCAAAAATATATTATTTAGCAGTCATGCTTTATGTTTTTTTCTTGAATACAAGTATTAGTCACATAACTTTTCTAATTCTCTTACTTTTTTCTCATGTTTTCATCATTTGTTATTCATATTAGGCTGTGTAGCTGTCAGATGTCACATAGTTAATGTGAATACAATTGGTAAAGCAACTGTTATTTAGAAGTTTAGAGATGGAGGAAACCATTTCTAGGAACCACTTCTATATGAATTTCAACTTGACTTAATCATTTTGTCATTCCATAAATATATTTCTATGGTAAGTGATATTAATACGACACAGGTTCATTCTACTTCAAAGTATATTTTTCAAGGTGAATCTATAGAACATACAACGTATCAGTATAACTATGTATATATATGTATTGGTGTAACTATTTATGTATTGATATATACAACAAATGAATGTTATATTTTAGTTAGAAACATTGTAGTATTTTTGAATTGTAGAAACAATTTCTCGATGGTTGTGATTGAGTTTCAATGTTACTTCGAATGCAGGATTATCCATATGTAAAGCGTCCTCGTCTTCTTCAAAATCGGAGCCATATGTAACCTCTGATCTAGAATGATCAAATATCCTCATATTGAATGTGGAATTTTCATTATATTCAAATACTACAACATAACGATCCTATAAGTTATAATAGTCGAAAAATTGCTCCCATCCATTAGCCAAATATATTTCTCCATCTGTTCTGTCTAACTTTATTGGGACAATTATACCATTATATGAAGTTAATCGTACTGTATCACCTAATTCATGTCTCTAGCAATTGACAAAAGATATAAGAAGCATCTACATATATGAAAAAAAATATAAGTGGTAAATAAAATATTTATACAAGTGTGAAGGAAGATATTATTATATAAATTACCAGACAGATGTTATGATTTAGTGAAATATTGATAATTTTGAAGAAGTTATGTGGCACATCAATTTTTGTGTTGATACACTGCACTAAATTTAGAAAGAATTATATACACCATATCATGCATCTATGTATGATTTTTAATACAATTAAAGATTGAAAATTATGTGTTATTTAAAACTACAAATTTATTTTGAAAAAATTAGTATAAGAGTCAAGAAAGAAATAGTAGATAAAACCTAATTTTTTTTAGCAAAGTACTGGTGCAGCTGGTAGGTAAAGATATTTAAATTTGTTAGGTGAGAAGAAATGGTATGAGAAGTTATTTAAACTAAACAAAAGTACTTTTCCTTTTTTGAGAGGATCTGACAAAAGGTTCACAGATAGAAATAGGGTAGAACTAGACAAAATATTCATATTGCAGAAATAGATAAAATATTACAGACAAACTATGCAGATATCACTCTTCCCAAAAATGGGAAATAGTTTTCATTTAATAAGATAAGAATTATTTTTAAGGAAGGCTCTGCTAGATTTGGTTAGAAATAAATTTTATTATTAAAGCTAATGTGAAGTGCTAAATTGTGGATTGAAATAAAATAAAATAATAACTATGGGAACAAACGATAAATAAATTAAAAGAATGAGATTAAGAAGAAGTAGAAGCATAATTTTATGTAAGCAAGTTTTTGACTGCATAACTATTATAATGAGTGATTCCATAGGTGTTACATTACATCTAATATAACAAGACAAAAGACAAAAAATGCTGATTACATCACTAAAGATTGTTATCAATTGATTTGAATGCAATGCCTTTACTTTTGTAACAACAAAAAAATCAGAGGTATGACAAGCAAGTAAGAATTAATAATCTAAAACAATTAATAAATAGTAAGCAAGCAATTGTTTACTGACACAGTAAACAATTAATAATTAATAATATAGTAAATAATAATTTAAATAGAAAAAAGGCAAAAAAAAAAAATTAGCAAATGCTCCGCACAGTGCGGAGCGCTAACTGGAATGCTCCGCACTATGCGAAGCATTTGCTTTGTTTTTTTTTTTTCCTTTTTTCGATTTAAATTATTATTTACTAAATTATTAATTATTAATTGTTTACTATATCAGTAAGAATGAGTTGCTTGCTATACCTCTAAATTTTTATTATAGCCTTCACCATACCTACCATACTATTAATCCAATCTGGTATATATATATATATATATTCTTTTTATTCTTTGTAGAATGTATCCATCTACCACATCTTTCTTGTACTATTGCTTGCCATACCAATTATTGCTTACACATTTCACCGTATCAAACTAATTCGTTCTCATACATTACTCTAAAATGTACTTATATACTTGCACATTTTACTAAACTAATCCATTTCCATACATTACTCTAGAATGTACTTATATACTGATAAATTTCAAGTTGATCAATCAACTGATTTACTTGGCCATACTTCACCGAATTTATCTTCTTCTTTCTTCTTTCTTTCTTTTTTTTTTTTTTTTTTGAAACTTTGACAAATTATATCTATATATCCATTCTCATACATTACTCTAGAATGTACTTATATATTGATAAATTTCAAGTTGATCAATCAACTGATTTACTTGGCCATACTTCACCGAATTTATCTTTTTTTTTTTTGGAAGCTTTGACAAATTATATCTATATATCCATTCTCATACATTACTCTAGAATGTACTTATATGCTTGTACATTTCACATATTAGACTAATCCATTCACATACATCACTGTAGAATGTACTTATATATATACTAATAAATTTCAAGTTAATCAATCAACTGATTTACTTGGCCATGCTTCATCAAATTTATCTTCTTCTTCTTTATATATATATATATATATATATATATATATATTCTACTCCAACTGCACTTGACATATTATTTTAGAATGGAAGAAGAATACAAACTAATATGAGAAATTGTCTCAAACAACGAGAAGTGGAAAGCTAAGGTCATTGTAATAGAAAAACAATCACCAAAAAACCTTCTAAGCAAGGCAATAGAAGGTACCAACATCTGATGGATACTCTGGTAACTTTTCTTCTTGTTGGCTATGTTTTCTTAGTTTAGCCTTATTTTTGCACAGTTTTTCTTAGCAAAAGTTGGCTTCTAAATACAAACTCTAAAAAATGGATAACTAGAAAATGAGTTAAAACTTCAAAACTATTCAAAAATATTAAAACTTCTCATTGAATATATAATCAGATAACTAATAACAATAAGAAATTCCTCCTCATTTTTCATTTTAGGGAAATACTATCCAACCTAGCTTATATGATTCCACTATCAATGCTTTTGAGGATCAACTTGTTTTGGAAAAAACATATGCCATTTCAAAAGCATATCTGAAGAACCATTTGAGAAACTACAAATATTCGATAGGAACTCATCACTGGACTATATTCGGAGAAATTCGTCTTTTTGAATTAAATGAAGATAATCTAGAATTTGTTTTTTCAACATATCAGTTGACAGTTTTCATGAAGCGGAACAGTAAATGGATACAGATGTTGATATAAGTAAAAATTATTGAATTATTTAATAGTTATAATTGAATTACTTAATGGTTATTGATTACGCCCAAATAAAAATGCGGTAGTTGTAATATAGTTTTGGAGTGTCGTATCCACAATGAGATGAAAAATAATCCAATGAATCAAAAGCTAGGGTTTTGTTGTGATTTTATGTAAATGTAATGTGTCAACTGAAATAGAATTCAAATAACAATATATTAGTTAAGAAAATTTAAATCAATGTGTGAAGCAGTGAAGCGTTGGAATTTCCTCGATTAGATTTGATAAATCAATGTCAATTTTGCATGAAAATACTCAATTAACAATTTTTTTTATCCTAACACTTTAATTGGAAGATTTACATTCAAACTCTTATTTAATTCCTTAAAAGTTCCAAATCTAGATTTCTCACACAACGTAATTCCACAATTGTTTATTGAAATTAGATCCAAAATCGATCATATACCCCAAGCATATGATAGTAAAAGATCACACCAACAAATGGTTTGAAATTGAAAATCAATAAATACTTCGATCATTCGATGAAAAAAACTTGATTGAATTCATGAAAATCTAATATGAATTAATCCAATCTCAAACATGACCAACAAATATAAGAAATCTAATTCCAAAATTTTTAACAACAAAAAAACAAATTACATGCAAGAAAGAACGTTGAAAAAACCAAATCTAATCAAGCTCCTTCGTGGCTTCACCAATTAATTTAGTTTTCCATGTATTTCTTGATCCAAACTTGAGAGAAAATTGATAGGAGATGAAGAATGGCGTTCTAGGTCAAGATTAGGGCTTAAAAATGTGTGCCAAACAAGTTTCCATAAGTGTCAGCGTCAAAATACGAATCTGGGATTTCGCCCTCGAAAAATACCCATGCGGCCGCATGGTTATAAGCCATGTGACCACATAGTTCAATCAAAATGGCCCCAAAAGTTCTCGAAAGGCAGCCATGCGACCGCATGGTTGTTACCCTTTTCTCCGTCGGACAATTTCTAGTATTTTGATCATAACTTTCTTTTCTAATGTCTAATTAAGGTGATTCAAGTTGCATTGGATACAACTTTTTTTCAGAAATAATCTTCTAATTCGATCATCTTTCATGTTAAAAAGGGGTCCCAATATAAAGCTGAAAACAGATGTGTAACTTTTTCGATTGGGAATTGATTTGTGAAGATGTTATAATCATATTNGAAGTGGAAAGCTAAGGTCATTGTAATAGAAAAACAATCACCAAAAAACCTTCTAAGCAAGGCAATAGAAGGTACCAACATCTAATGGATACTCTGGTAACTTTTCTTCTTGTTGGTCATGTTTTCTTAGTTTAGCCTTATTTTTGCACAGTTTTTCTTAGCAAAAGTTGGCTTCTAAATACAAACTCTAAAAAATGGATAACTAGAAAATGAGTTAAAACTTCAAAACTATTCAAAAATATTAAAACTTCTCATTGCATATATAATTAGATAACTAATAACAATAAGAAATTCCTCCTCATTTTTCATTTTAGGGAAATACTATCCAACCTAGCTTATATGATTCCACTATCAATGCTTTTGAGGATCAACTTGTTTTGGAAAAAACATATGCCATTTCAAAAGCATATCTGAAGAACCATTTGAGAAACTACAAATATTCGATAGGAACTCATCACTGGACTATATTCGGAGAAATTCGTCTTTTTGAATTAAATGAAGATAATCTAGAATTTGTTTTTTCAACAT